AAATTTGACTCGACTCGACTTGAAAAAAATGAGTCGAATAGAGTTGGTCTTTAAACTCGACTCGACTCGACTCATTCGGAACTCTAATTATCGTTAGTTATTGGTTAAGGGAAATTATCCTACAGCATTTTTGTTTAATAATATCGATTAAATATTTATCAAACGGTAAAACGTTTATTAAGGTTTTTGATTTAAATTTGAAATTTTGAACAATGACTATATATGCACAATGATTGTTCCATCTTCAATGTGCAGCAGCTGTTAATCAGAAAGTTTTTGGTATCGACTTTTATTTTTCTTGTTTAATGATGCATCAATAAACTTTTTAAATAAATTAAATATGTAATAGATCTGTAATAACAAGAATGTAACTGTTTATTGGTATTTTCTTGTATGTTGTAAATAAAAATTTGTTATTTTATTAAATAATTTAAATTAGTAATTGCATTGAAAGAAAGGATCAATGTCATTGACAAAAGGATTAATTGAATTGAAGCATATTACTTTTTTATGTTGATAAAATGTATTTGGTAGGTAATTATTAATTATTATTTATTAATTTATTAAATTCTGTAAATAACCAATGTATATTGTCAACAACTGATTTGTTCGTTCAATTCAAATTCAATGTCATCAATGACGATTAATTAGGTAAGAATCTTCTTCAATAAATGGTTAGTTCAATCGATATATATCAATTTAGATATATGGACCAACCAAATTTGGATTTATTTATCCTTTTTTTTTTTTTTTTTTTGTGATAAAAAGATTAAAAGTAAATTGATTGATTGATTTTCGAATTCAAAAAATCTCATAAATTATTTTTAGATCACTAATATGCCCATGTGGTCAATGTTGCGGAAGAATCGTACATGAAATATTGGGTTTAGTATTACAATCCAATCTTGTTCATGAAATAATATTATTATTTAGATTTACCGAAACACTCTTTTGTGTCAAATTTATACAAAATTTTAGAAAGAAATCCTGGTGGTAGAATTGAATTCTATTAAACAATCGATTTTAGGTTTCAATCGACAAAAACTAAATCTAAACAAATGCGATAATCTTATTCAAAAATACAGCTTCCAAAACACGGGAAAGAAAGCGAATTTGATTTTAATTATGTAATTTATTAATTATGCATAAATAAATTACAAATGAATGCACGGATCGGTTAATCCTTTTCCGTCTCTTTGACTACAGGATATGGACATTACGAGAGCATAAAAAATTCTTTGAAATTCAAGCAAAATACTGACAGTTACAGAAAATATGCACTGATCTAATGTTTTTTTTTTTAAAGTATTTAATAATTTTATATTATCCTTTTTTTGTTTTTTTTAAAAAAAAGGTAATAATTATGGGATTCAAATTTATTATTGATGACACTGATTATTTATTAATTTGGTCGTTTTGTTTGATTCTGTAAGGCTAGCTTCGGACTGATATCCGATAATTTCAAAGCTAATCCATATTTGTTATTTGTTTAACATCTGAAAAGTTGGAAGGAAGTTGTTGTAACGGCAAAAAAAAAAAAAAATTACAGCAGTTTTCAAATAATATCCATATAATATTTCCTTTTTAATGTTTATTCAACTTCAAAACTTTTGTAAATTTTCACGATATTAGTCATGATTTCTCCCAAGTTTGACCAATAATTTGTGCAAATAACATTTATGCAATAAATATTTTTTTTTGTTATATACGGAAACTCTACCCTTTAATTGTCAGTTTCTTTCCAAAATAAATATTTTTTAAAAAAAAAAAAAAAAAAAAATACAATCACAACGGAATATACTTTTAATATTACGGATTTAATTAATTTTCGTTTGGTCAATATTGATTATGCATATATTTCAAACACTAAAGTACCTAACATGACATTTGAAATATGGAAGCTCGGATATGATGGTTGATGTGTCACCACTCATTGCAGATCGTGTGGTTCTATTACGGGTAAATACGGTAAATTCATTTATGTTTGTAACTATAATGAAATAAAGTTCTTTGAACAGGTTGAGATTTTTTTTTTTTAAGTTGATTCATTAAATTCATTAGACAAACAACTGATACTGGTTTAAAAAAAAAAAATTTTTATTTTTTTTTTCCCATTTGAATAATTTTTAATATTGAACCAATGAACTTTGATAAAATTTTCGTCCAAAATTTGTAAAGTGACAAATTCTTTAGATTATTCATGCAGGGTTGTTTGTTATTTTAACCTTTACAAAGGAGATGATCAGCAATCGAACATGTTTAGAAACAAAATATCTATCTATTTTTTTCCCTTTGAATAATAAGGAAATAAATTTTAGTTTTGAACCAATGAACTTTTGGCGCGAAACAATCCAATTATTATATTAATTTTTTTTTTCGTATTTATAATGCAATGGACATCATTTGCAATAAAAAATTCTCCTTCAATCATAAATAATTGAATTTTAAAGCATGATTTACAAAAAATATTTATCAAACTCTGTATGTATTGTATGTATATTATCAAATGACAAATAAAATAATACTCTCCTTTGTACAAGAGAATACTGCAAAATGTCTCAGTATTTTCATTTAAAAATTCCCTCTTTATAAATTTAATTTATTTAATTATGCACGAATTTTAATTTGCTTTTCAAATCTCTAATTACTTTATAAAATTAATAAAGCTGTTCCAATGCATTTAATTTATTAATCAAATAAAACTTTCCTACAGATATTATCTACAAATATAATCATCCTGGAATTTGGATCGAGCATGTACTTACTTACGGCCTTTAATTGGTTAATCGTTGTAAAGAAAGATTTGTAAATACTTACCCAATGCATTGACACGTGAGTAACAATAATGTAGGAACTTTTTTGAAACAAAAAAATATATGCAGTGAACATTTATTGGATAAATTCTCCGAAAAATAAAAAAATGTTTTGATTTTTTATATGATGAAGAAAATGCTGTGATCAATAAGTGAGCAGTATTTTTAATTTTGATTCCAGTTAGTAGATGTCGGTCACGTTGATTGACTGGATAACCCATTTAATTTTGATCCGTAACATAAATGGATTAGATTGATTGGTATACCAAAAAAAAAATTAATTTTCGTTTGTGTTGCATTGAATTTTTTTTTCAATTTCGTTTTAACGAATTTGATACCCAATATATAGTTTTTCCAAATAGCTCTAACAATAGCTAAAAGATTCTTTTTTTTATGCACAACTTATTTTGTTCTCCGATTATATAAAAAGATAAGCAATGCAATGTTAACGAAACACTACAGGTACCCTTTCCTTGACAATGACAACAAAAATATATTAAGGATTTCCCGTCATTTTCCAATATATTCAAATCATTAACGGGACCATTTGAAATAATTTATTGATATATATTATGAATAGGACCTTTGCAATAGAAATGGGGGAAACAGCCGGAAAAAATCAATTTTACTTTTATATGCCAAATATGATTTTTAGTTCAAATTTAGCATTAACTTGATTTTTATTTTTTCCAGCCGTTTCCCCCTTTTCTATTGCAAAGGTCCCATATATTTAAAATCCATTTGTTCAATTAATATAAACCGTTCCGTAAATAATAAAAAAAATAATAATAATGCATTGTTTTCCATAAAAGAAATGTTTGAATGTTAATTAGTCCAGACAAAGATATATTTCAATGACGGCTAACCAAAATCGTCATATCTTAAAGAAACAAGAACCCTTTTTTTTTTTTTTATCAGTAAATAAAAAGAATGATTCTTTGGAACGTTTTTTGAGTTCTAAAATTTTTTTTTGAATCATTACTTTAAATTTCTTTATGCCCAATTTGTCATGATATGTATGAAAACAAGTAATTACAATTTTGAAGAAAGACTTTGTTTCTGTGAATTAGATAATGTGTACTTGCATATGTACAATGGCAACATATATTATTGGCTGTAAATATGCAGTTATGAGATGGTTAACAAATGAAAATGATTACTAACGCACATTATCATTTCAATCTGATGGAAGGTTATTTAATTGTTTATGCTAAAATTTTTTCTTAAAAAAATTGAAAAAAAAAATGCCAAAATTTTTTTCAGCAAAGATTTCTAATAACCATTTGCCATATCGGATCTTAATAATGCAAGCGATAAAGAATTTAAATAAAATCAAGAGATTAAAAGGAAATGCGTATAACTGTTACGGGAGAATCTGGAATTTATGCAAATATGGTACATCACAATGTTCATTGTTTTATACTTGCTTATTTATCATCATTTCATTGATAATTTGACATTTTAATAATATCTAGCGAAAATACATTTCTTATAGAAAATCATTTTATTCTTAATGTTATTCCTTAATTTGAAAAAGTAGATAAATTATATTATTTGTAGTAAAAAAAATCAACGTTTTCTTTTTTTCTTATTTTTTGGGAAGATTCTTAAGGAATGAAAAAAAAAGAAAAGAAAAAAAACATTTTGCTCGTACGCAAAATTGTTTTATGTTATAAATTATGAACTGACTGATTTAAAAAAAAAAGAAAAGTAAAGAAAAATATTTTTCTTATAAATTTTTTTGTGTCATAAACCTATGTAAAGAGCCATAGGTCTTGTGTTGAGCACATTCCTGGTCGGCTCTTTCCATTATTTCATCAAGTTCGTCGATTATACCCGGTTGACTTATCTCGGACTTCACTTTGCATAAAAGATGTCGCATATATGCAAACAAAAGTTCACCTGTCTTCTTGCCCCAACTTCCAATAGGAACAATTGCGACTTCATGTCGTAAGTTTGGAAAATTTCTTTTTAGTAGCAAATCTTCTAGCTTATCACAAGTGGAATCACTCGACGCAACCACTAAATTAAAAGTGTGATAATCCACATAAATCACATTAAGAAACGCGTAAAATGAAAAAAAAAAATTTTAGCCCTTGATGTTAAACTTACTATCATTCCACTTTTCCAAGTGGGGACCACAATTGGAAAATCTCGAATCCATTTGCATGAATTCAATCCATCCCCCTGCGGAGGTAATTCGATAACTATCTTTTAAAACGTCTTTCCACTCCTCTTCAGATAATCCGACAAGTCGAACGAAGACGAGATCAAATGTGTTATCTTCGAAGGGCAAGTCACCGTGACTATGTTGAAAGAATTCAATGTTTTTCACGTGTTTATTTGTTGGTATGGGAGCGAAATCGACAACCGAGAATTTACTTTTCGGATAATCTTTGGCCATTTCGAATGACCAGGTGGTAGTGCCACATCTTTTTAAACAAAAAAAAAAAAAATTTCGGGGTTTGATTATGAAAAAAAGAAAATTGTTTTTGATTCTATATCACTTACCCAAGATCTAATACTCTAGCACCACGTTTAAGCAAATTTTCTATAGGAGACGAGAAATTATTTTGCCATAGATGCCTAGCTAAATAATGTTGTAGATCCTCCAACCAACTTTTTTCTTCGTCCGCATTCAATGGTAAAGGATATCTCATTTTTGATCCATTTATTATAAATGACCTGGCATATCTAGTTGGCGTTGTTTGTGGATCACGGTCTAGATGCGTTCCTCTCCTACGGCCATTGTATTCATCTCTAATCGCATTTACCTTTCTAAAAAAAATACTATTGCTAACTCCCATGATATTTTTGTTGATTGTCGTTAGGAAGAAATCTTTAATCTTGATTGTTGTTTTTAAGATATAAAGAAAAAAAAGAAACAAAAGGTATAAATCGAAATAATAACGAAAAGATAAGGAAGGAATAAAAGAATGAAGATATTTTATTATGTTGAAAAGTGGATAGAAAATTTGAGCATCGAATATCAAAATAAAAATTTTTTTTAATTTTCTACACGAGAAAAGAGTGAATAATTCCGCTATTCATTTATCCATTTTTTTTTGTTTGAGAAGAAAATGTCCTTATTTATTGCAGTTTTTTTTTTTTTTTTTGTGTCATATTTTTATCAAATAATTTATTATTTGAATGTATATCTATTTTATTATATATCGATTTACTTTTATTTTATTAATTGATACACTTATGTAAGGAGTGTATATTTTTTTAAAAAAAGTTTTTTATGTATTTATGTTAAGTTTGTTTTGAGCAGATGTTGAAACGAATGCTCTGTACTTGCAATTTCTTTAAACTTTAAAACATTTAAACTGAAAATTTTTTTTCACAAAATAATTAAAATATGCATACACAAATTATATATTATTATTATTAAAACAACACTAAGTATAGAAGGTTATTCTGGTCCCACAAAAATGTTGATTGGTGTCAATTTTAAAAAAAAAAAATAAAAATAAAAAAAAAATATATATACAGTACTAATAATGTTCCTTTTAAGTAACACATACTTTTCTTTTTCGAAATTCCCGTATAATACCGTGAAATTCCGATGCGAGATCTACAGCATTGAATTCATCCCTTTAAAATACACCTCTAATAATTTTCCTCATCTTCATACGGATAATTCACGAATTTTGCGACTTACATGACATTGCATTCAGAAAGGAAAAAAAATAAGGATAAGAAAAGAATATCATAATCAGAATATCTCACAACATAACTAAACGCTATAAACATAATTGGTTAAAATACTATATTTATTCTACAATTGATTATCATTTTTTTTATCCTGAATTTATTAGCCCTGAAAACAATTCACCAAAGCATTAAGATCTCACTAAAACAAATCGAGTAGTTCATATATGTACATTCAGATTATCTAATAAATTCGGCAGTTCATTTCATGATTTTCTCATTCGATTTTTTTTTGAACTCCTTGATACAATTTTACTTTACTAAATAAATTCTAAATTTATTGTATACAATCATTTTTTTTTAAAAAAAAAGGTGAATCGTAAAATGATTAACAGTAGGTTACATTTGATTTTATATATTATCAACTAATTAAAAAGGTAAATTTAAAGTGACAGCGATTCACTCACTTCCCCACAATTCCATAATCTCAAATCTTGTGTCTATTTATTTGTAAGCCTTGTAAAATATTTTATGCTCCCTATTATAAATAACATAACACATGGGAGATGATGATTGTCATTGCCTCTTTATAATGTAGATTTCCATGAAAACAAAATCGAATTTCTTCTCCGAATATATATATGCACAATGAAATGGTTCACAAAGCAAATCACTGGTGCAGGTTGGAAAGACCAAATCTGACAATCAATGTTACCATAAATGATACGAGATGCGATTATCTATTTGTTAAGAATAATTAATATTTAAAAAAGTATTATATGAAATTTTGTGTTAATAAAATGGTTTAATGTTTAATTCTATCATTTAGGGACAATCCTTTTTCTTGATTCATATTGTTCTCCGCATGAGTATCAAATTTTGATCACACATTTCTTTATGTTGCTTTTCTCACACACAATCTCAGATTAAGAAAACATAAATTATATCTGTGGCGTTTTCACTTTGAAAGGATTTATGTCTAGAATAATTTTGACGCGCAATTTTTGCGCAACTATTTTTTTTTATGGAATTTAATTTACCTTATATGTTACTAAAGAATTTTATTTAAGGATCGTTCCAAAATAGTGAAGAATGGACAGAATCTAGATTTTATGTCATTTTACCATCATAGTTGGCCATCAAAGCTAGTTTATAGGGAAATGTTGCATAATTAATATTTTGTATTTCAAAATTATTGAGATGATCCGTGCGTTTATTTATCTGTTAACAACTAACGATGGCATCTGTGAAGGAACGGAAAAAAGTACAACATGATCCTTCGGAATTTACGCGACGTTTTACAACTACATATAATTTAATCAATTTCTTAACAAAATGTAATGGTTGTAATGTTATCGTTAAGAACCTGCTTAAAACGTATTTAGTGATACATTACACAACATTTTCACAAGCAAAAAAAAAATTTTTTTTTTTAAACTTTGTTTCCAAATTTGTGCATTAAAAGCTCGAATAGTGATAAGTATAGGTAATGGAAATACTAGAAAATGCGAAAGTAATGTAAATTTGCTTAAACAAAGAAATAAAGTTAAACGACAACTCGTACATCTAGATAAACACTGCTCTTATATACTATGATCGTATTGGTGTGAAATTATAATGATTGTCTTGCTTGATTTGATTGGATTCATTCCGTAATCAACACTATCGCTTTTTTTAAAAAGTTACCACACGACACCACTCTCGCTAATTCATTGCAACAATGATTTTATTCTAATAACCTCCAACGGGAAATCTCTTAATTGGTGAAATTTATTTAATTTATTTGAGACTTGGGATCCATGTGATTTACATTTACATGTCATTGGTCAATGGAACAGTTGAATTATGATACGCCCTTCAGGATTAAAACTGGTAAGTATTTATTAATGTGGATAATTTGTGTGTCCCGAACTTGAATTTTGTCACTATATAATAAAGAAAATCTCAGAGATCTAATATCAACTCCTAATATAAGGGATATATTTTTTTTTTATTTTTATTTTTTTTTTTTAAAATTGACACCAATCAACATTTTTGTGGGACCAGGTGGTAGTGCCACATCTTTTTAAACAAAAAAAAAAAAAATTTCGGGGTTTGATTATGAAAAAAAGAAAATT